TGATAATGTGGTTTTCAGGAACACTGGTTCTACAGCTGTTTAGACTGACCCAGTGGCACAGCCCCACTTTCCCCAGTGCCTCATGAACCAAATCCCACTCCTCTCATATCATCTTTGAATCATGCATTCATCTCAGTAATCTTATGTGCCCTTTGCCAACTGACATGGCTCAGGTAATGATTCAGTGATTAATACTTTTGAGGTTCTCCTTTTCAGTTCTGTACATTGGTCTTCATGCTATCTAAACAGGACCTCTGCATTAGACCATCCCCATATTGCTGGTACCTACGTGGATCATGATATCGGGATCATCCCCATCCCATTTCAAGTTCTCGTCCATCCCTGAGATGATGTCCTGAACCCTGGTATTGGTTAGGCAACATAGCCTTAACTCATATTATTAGTTCACAAAACTGGGCCTATTTCTCTCTAGTGCCAGATTTTCTCACAAAGGGAAACAACCTCTCAGCATCTGGAGAAATTCCCTAAAGAGTGAGGGTCAACCTAGTGAACCTTCTCTGGACTGCGAGCATATTTTTGCATAGGTAAGGGATCCAAAACCACTCATAGTATTTTAGGTGTGGTCTAACAAGTATCTTGTAAAGTTTTAGCAAGACTTCCTTTCCAATAAAGGAAACATTCCATTTGCCTTCCCTATTAACTGAACTCGTATGCTAGCCTTTTATGATTATGCACAAGGACAGTCAAAATCTTTGTGCTGCAGATTTTCTCCATTGAAGCAATACTTTGCTCTTCTATTCTTCCTGCCAAAGTGCATAACTGCACATTATATTTCATCTGCCAAATTTCTGATCACTCACTTAACCTGTCCATATCCCTAAGTAGGCTCACCACTTGTGTTCCCACCTGTCTTTGTGCCATCCACAAACATGGCAATAGCATATTCACCTCCATTAGCTAAGTAATTTATGTATGTTGTAAATAATCGTGGTCCCAGCACCAATCCTTGTAACTTCTCGGTAAACCATGGTTAGCTTATCTGCTTCATAATTATAGGTTGTCATCCTGAAAATATATCATTTATCTCAACTCTGTCTTCTATTAACTACACAATTGTCTATTCATGCTAATATACTATTCCTAACAGGATGGTCTATTAATCTTATCAAGTAGCCTTCCAAACTACTAGGTACTTTTTATTATCCTAAATAAAAACCGAAACAACTGTAGATGCTGTAAATCAGAAACAAAAACCGAAGTTCCGAGGAAGGGTCACTGGACCTGAAACGTTAACGTTAACTCTGAATTCTCTTCACAGATGCTGCCAGACCTGCTGAGCTTTTCCAGCAACTTCTGTTTTTGTTTCCTTTTGTTATCTTGCTTGTTACTTCAAAAAGAATTCTAATAAATATGTCAGGCAAGATTTCCTCTTCATGAAGCCACGCTGACTCTGCTTGCTTATATTAGGCATTTCTAAGTGCTCTGCTATTATGGCCTGTATAATAGACTAACAAACTGGGGTCACATGGTGGCTCCATGTTAGCACTGATGCCTCACAGTGCCAGAGACCTGGGTTCAATTCTAGCCTCAGGTGATTGTCTGCAGGGAGTCTGTATGTTCTCCCCATGTCTGCGTGGGTTTCCTCCGGATGCTTCAGTTTCCTCCCACAGTCCAAAGATGTGCAGGTTGGGTGAATTAACTAAATTGCCCATAGTGTCCAGTGATGTACAGGCTAGGTGGATTCGCCATGAGAAATGTAGAGTAACAGGGATAGAGCAGGGGGTGGGCTAAGGTGGGATGCTCTTCAGAGGGATGGTGTGGACTCGACTGCCTGAACGGCCTGCTTCCACAGTGTAGGGATTCTATGATTTCCATTACGACAGATGCTACATTAACTGCCCTCAAGTTACTTCTTTGTTGCCTTTTTGAATAAGGTCATTACATTGGTAGCTTTCCAATCCTCTGTGGGACTTTTCTAGATTGAAGGGTTACTATCAGTGCATCCACTACCTTTGTAGGTGCATCCTTTAACTTCCATCAAGTCCAGGGGATTAAGCCTTTAGCCGAATCAGTTTCTGTAGTATTTTTTCTCTAGTGACAGTTATTGCATTTATTTCCTCCCACCCAGCCCCCATTTTGCAACTTGATTTAGTACTTTTTGATTGACATTCATGTATTCTACTGTGAAGACTGATGCAAAGTATTTAGTTAACTCCTTTGCCATTTCCTGGCTCCATTATTATTTCTTGAACCTCATTTTCTAAGGGGCCTATGTTTACTTTGGTCTCTCTTTTTTTATACATATTTAAAGTAGATCTTACTTTCCATTTTTATATTAGTTACAAGTTCACCCTAAAAGTTTACGTACTCCCACTATTATTTTTGTTCATCTTTAAAAACTTTCCCAATCCTGTACGTGGGGAGGCAATGGCCTAGTGGTATTGTTACAGGGCTGTTAACCCAGGGACCCAGATAATGTTCTGGGCACCCAGGTTCAAATCCTGCCACGGCAGATGGTGGAATTTGAATTCAATAAACATCTGGAATTAAGAATCTAATGATGACCATGAATCCAGTGTCGATTGTCAGGAAAATCCCATCTGATTCACTAATATCCCTTAGGGAGGGAAACTGCTACCTGGTCTGGCCTGGCCTATATGTCTCTCCAGACCCACAGCAATGTGGTTGGCACTTAACTGCCCTCTGGGCAATTAGGGATGGGCAATAAATGCTGCCTGGCCAGTGACAGCCTCATCCCATGAATGAATAAAGACCACTCATCTTTGCCCAGTGTATGTTTTTCTTTCAGTTTGATACTATCCTTAACTTCTTTGGTTAACTATGGCTAAGCTCATCCGCTTCATGGAATCCTTCTTCCTCACTGGGATGTATCTTTGCTGAGAATCGTGACTACTTTCTTAAACAACTGCCATTGTTCATCAACTGTCTTTTCTGCTAAACCTCTTCCTCAGTACACTTCAGCCAACTCTGCCCTCATCCCAATGTAATTACCCTTATTTAAGTTTAGCACAGTTGTGTCTGAAGCAAAGATCTCCTTCTCAAACCAAATGCTGAATTCTGTCATGTTTTATTCACACAGATCATTTATTACATTTACACATTCCTAGCTACAAAATACCCTGATCTCTGGTTGAAGCCACAACAGAGTGTTCTTGGAAACTGTCCCAAATACACTGAATTTCTCTTGGTTACCTCTGCCAATTTTATTTTCCCATTCTACAAGAAGATTAAAGTCACTCATGATTATTGTACTTCTTAAAAAAAAAAAATTATCTCCTGATTTTTTTCCCTATGTCTTATAGTATAGATTCTGTTAAGAGGGCTTACACACTACTCCGAAGAGTGTCTTCTGCCCTTATTATTCCTCACCTCCACCAATATGGATCCTACATCTTCTGATGCAAGATCATTTTGTTCTATGGAACATATTCCATCTTGTACTAATAAAGCTACCCCATCACCCTCTCCTTCCTGGAAACAAAAAAAAATGCTGGAAATCACAGCAGGTCAGACAGTATCCATGGCAAGAAAGCAAGCTAATGTTTTGAGTCTAGATGACTCTCGATCAGACCTGAACTGAAGTTTGGAGGGGGCAGCACTTATGCATCGAATGAACAAGACAGTCCTGAGGGGGGCACAGTGACAGAGAATGTAATGAGCAAAGCTAAAAGAAAGGGAAGGAATGGGTTCATAATTTGAAGGTGTTGAGCCCAGAAGGTTGTAGAGTGTCTAGTTTGAAGATGAGATGCTGCTCCAGCGGGGCTGTCTGTTCTTTCCAGTTAGACACACCATTGTTCTGCCATTTTTACATTCTGATCACTTAATCTGAACTATCAACATCCTTTCTGCCGTAGCACTCCAATCACCATTGCCCTGCCTAAATTATTGCATAAATGCTGCCCCCTCTACACTTGACTTCAGCTCTGATGAAGAGTCATGTAAATTTGAAACGTCAGCTTGCTTTCTCTCCATGGATGCTGCCTGACCTGCTGAGATCTCCAGCAATTTTTGTTTCCAGTACAGATTCCAGTATCTGCAGTAATTTGCTCCTACCCTCTTTTTCCTGCCTGTCCTGTCAATGTCATCTATTCCTGAATATTTAGTTCCAAGTTTTTAAATTCTTGTAATCATGTCTCCAATGCATAGCTAACACAATGGAAAATTGTAGTTACTGAAAGTCAATAATCTAAGTTACAGGATAATCATCACAGGAATTCCTCAGTTCAGTACCCTTGAACCACCTGATCAATGATCTCCTCTCCAACAAAAAGTCAGAAGTAGGCATGTTCATTCATTCATTGCACAATGTACAGCACCATCTGTGACACCTTAGATACTGAAGCAGTTTGTGTCCATAACAGAGAGCTATGTAAGTTCCAAACAATGGCCATTTTAAATAATTGGAAGCCTCACCATCAACCTTGGTCATTCAATGGTATTACCATGCCGAATCTCCCCTCGACAGTAATTGAGGAAAAGAGTGATGGCTCTGGTAATTAATTATAACACTAGGGCAATAGAGGGTTGACCCAAGTTCAGGAAACCAGGATGCAGGCCCCCACAACAGTAACCATATGGTATGATGAAATATAAAAAGGAGAAAATGCAGAAGAGGTTTACCAGGATGCTGCATGCATTAGATGGTATAAGCTCTAAGGAGGGGTTTAGAAAAACTTGGGTTGTTTTCTCTGGGGAAGTGGAGGCTCAGGGAGAATGGATTGAAGTCTATAAAATTACGAGATGCATAGATAGGGTTGACAGTCAGAACATTTTATCCCGAGAGTTGAAATGTCTAACACCAGGGGGCATGCATTTAAGGTGAGAGGCGGAAAGTTCAAAGGAGATATGAGGGGCGAGTTTTTTTTTTAAAACATAGGGAGTGTTAGGAGTCCAGAATGCACTGCCAGAGGCAGCGACGGAGGCAGATACAATGGGGGAATTTAAGGGACTTTTAAATAAGCACATGAATATGCAAGGAGTGGAGGAATATGGACCAAAGGCAAGCAGATGGAATTAGTTTAATTAGGTTGCGTGCTCAGCACAACATCATGGGACGAAGTGCCCGTTCCTGTGCTGGACAAACCTGTCAGAAAGATACAGTGATAAACATGGTGGATTTTTATCTACATACAGTCTGGCAACTTCAGATGCGTAAGAGAAAATCTGGTAAATGTGTTCATGTGGACTAAATAACAACAGGTACGACTTTTTTTTTAAGCACATTTAACATAGTACAACTGACCAAGGACTTTAACAGGGGTAAGAAAAAGTAGTTAGACACTGAGCAATATAAGGCAATGTTAGTACAAAACACCAAAACCTTAGTCTTTTAGCTAAGTTTTAAAAGTACCATCAAGGAAAAACGAGACACATTTACAGAAGGAATTCTGGGAATTTCAAATTGACAGTTGAGTCGTACTGTCACCGATAATGAAAAAATTAAAATTGAGGATGGTCTTGGAATAATGCCTTCAGTTCTGGTCTCCCTGTTATAGAAAAGATGTTGTTAAACTTGAAAGAGTTTGGAAAAGATTTACAAGGATGTTGTCAGGATTGAAGGGTTTGAGCTGTAGGGAGAGGCTGAATTGGCTGGGGTATTTTCCCTGGAGCAGAGGAGGCTGAGGGATGACCTTAGAGATTTATAAAATCATGAGGGGAATGGATAGGGTAAATCAACAAGGTCTTTTCTCAGGGTAGGGGAGTCCAAAACTAGACACCATAAGTTTAAGGTGATAGGAGAAAGATTTAAAAGGACCAAAGGGGCTACTTTTTCATGCAGAGAGTAGTGCATGTACGGAATGAGCTGCCAGAGGAAGTAGTGGAGGCTAGTACAATTACAACATTTAAAAGGCATCTGGATGGGTATATGAATAGGAAGAATTGCGTAACATGGGCCAAATGCTAGCAAGTGGAACTAGGTTGGTTTGGGATATCTGGTCGGCGCAGACAAGTTGGACTGAGGGGCTTGTTTCCGTGCTGTACATCTCTATGACTCTAAGAGACCAGAATTGAAAGATTTTGAGGCTGGAGGTGATACATGGATGGACAATACTGTGGAGAGATTTGAAAACATGAATGAATATTTTAACATTGAGACATTGCTTGAGCTAGAACAAAAAGTTGGTCAGCAAGCACAGAAATGTCAAGTGAACAGACTTGATCCAACTAAGGGCATGGAGTAGGGTTTTAATTGATCTCAAGTTTATGGAGAATAGGATGTGAGAAACCATCCAGGAGTGAAATGAAACCCAGAGTGGGAAAAAAAAAGCCATGAATAGGCATCAGATCACCATCAGATGAGCTGAGGCAGGATCATTCTGGGCAATGTTCTGGAGACGAAAATAGGTGATCTAAATCTTACAAAATGGCTCCCACAAACCTTACAATCACCTTTGCATTTCAGCTAGCATTGAAACCAGATTATACTCATTTCAGGAAGAAATGACAAGCGATCTTTTGAAATTTACTGAACACTTCTAAGGATAAACAGCAACCCTTTGACAATGAAGGCGTGAATAGTTCTTCCCCACTCCCCACAGCCTGACAACTAGAGCCACAAAGGCTGACGGTGGAGTCAGTCAAAAATTAATTACTCCATCTAAAAGTCAATGGATAAAGACTGTGCCCCAGACCAATGCAACCCAATACATAATATGAGAGTACAATGTCGAGAGGATGTGGTCAAAAGCTCACCTCAGGTGAAATGTGATAGTAACGTTGTGAACGGTTTGGTATAATCTCAGACGGTTGCCAGGAAGAGGAACGGAGCGGATAGGTACGGATCAGCGCTTGGAATAGTAACTGAAGAAAACAGCTTTATTTGGATGAAATTTCTGGTAATGTCAGGTAAGTAAAATGAAAACTTTGTAGATGGAGAAATTGAGAGGGGTGGTAGTGAGGTAGAGTTCTGTGTCTTCAGTGTGCACATAGAAACTAACTACACGTTCAGATTGTATTGCTGAGAAATAGGGAGGAGTTTAGGAAGGATCACTGAGGTCACAGATGGCTTCTTTTCCTGTTCCATCATTAAGCAATACTCTATCTACAATTAGATAGAAAAGAATGAAACAAGTAAGTACAGTCCCATCCAATTGGGCAACAGTGGAGGAGGATGGTGGGAACCCTGTCAAAGGTCAAGTTGCAGAGTTTACTTTTGTCATAGTAATACAAGATATAATTTGTGACTCTAATAAGAGCCATTTCAGTACAGTGGCAAGGACAAAAACATGACTGGAGGAACTCAATCCTGGAGTTCTGGGAGAATTGGGCCTGGACTGCGCACAAAGTTTGACAAAGAAAAAGCAACAAAATCATTTGTTTAGGTCAACACTATAATTCTAATGTATATTGTTTAAAATAAGCCAATTTGTCTTTAAAAAATGGATAAATAAATCTTAGAAAATGGCTCTACCTTTTGACTACCTTTGGATTTCTGCTGGTAAATCTGACATCAAGTTTTCAACCCCTTCTTTTGAGAGAGAGAAAGCTTCATGCAAACCGAATATTTTATCCCGACTCACTTTCAATCTTTGTATCTGTATTTCAACCAATATCATTGCTTTTTACTTAAATAACTTTTGACAATATCTTCATGGAATAAAGTATTCTTATCTTGTTTCAAGCATAAAGCTGTGCCACTTTCTAAAAAAAAAAATTAAATGTTCTAACACTAAAAGAGGGCAATAAACAAGTTACTTAAATTTCCAGATCATAGTCCAGTTTATGAACATGCCAGATGTGATCATGACATAGGTGCTGGCTGAGGACTAAGTGGCAGTCAGAACATCAGAACTCTCCTGCTTATCTTTGAAAAGTTTTGTGACATGCTTTACGTACCTACTGGGGTTAGATAGAACTCTATACTTATGTCTCATCTGATCACTAATGCAACATGTCCTCAAGTGCTATACAGTTTAGATTATGTTTACGTTCAAATCTTTGGCCATGGAGCTTGAATTCACTGCCTTTTGATTCAGGTGAGAATTCTATCAGTGAGCCATGGTGGAGTAGAGAGACAAAAATAAGTTATAAACAAATAATGAAACATACAGAAAATCAGCAACAGGGCAATTCTCACAGGCAACAGAAATAATTTCTGATTTCCCACGTACGTCACAGAAAATGTGCGAGGTTGATGCTTTCAGAATTAAACATAGAATATTGTAAACAGAAGTATTACCTTTCAAAGGTGGTAGTTTTTGTAGCTCCCTGTTGTTACTGATATTGAACCTGGAAGAACTCTGACGCTTTTCTTTCTTCACTACTGCCGTAGGTCCAGGAAACTTTATCTTTGTTAACTGTGTAGTTGGAGGGGTACTATTGTTGGGCCTCTTGTTTGAGATCTGCAAAAAATAAAAAGGGATTTGAATTGGAGTCTTACTTGAAAATTTTCATTGATGATCAGGCTAATGATTCAACATCAAGATCTATAAATTCTTCATATTCCAAAACATTCACAGCATTTAAAATATTACATTCTAATTGGTTGTTCAGCTTGCCTTCTCAAAAGCTGCAACTACTTTTAAGTCTAACTGCTAGTGATTACATTAACATATTTTTCAACTTCAATTGAAATTGAAGTCGAGTTCAAAAATATTTTAAATGGTTGGAATGGAAACTATTCAATGTGAATATTTTTAGTATTTCTAAAGGGAGGTCAAAACAACACATCTAACGCATGAAACCTAACATTAAAAAAGGCTTCATAAATGATTCAGATCAGGAAAACACTTCCAATAGTTACAAAATAAGTGAACATAATATTTTCTAGGATATAACAGATAAATACTTGTCTAAAATAAAGTAAACAAACAGTTTCCATCAGAACTTAAACTTGAAATTGATCAAGCTTCTAACATAGCTGAGACCTATGTAAAATTTCCAGTGGTGACCAAACATTTTTGTCCTTCTAAATGCTACCAAAAACACACCACTAAAAGTGCAAACCTGACAGAAACTTTCCGATAATTTGTTCTGTATTTGCTGCCATATATTACAAATGCTATATTCACCAACTCAAATGAATATATCATTTGGAATAAATGCCAGTAAACGTAGATAAACTTGGATAAATCATGAAAACAATTCAAGTTTATCTAATTTTACTGTTAACCAGTATATTTGGACAAATATGCCCATTTTGTCATTTTTCATAAAAGATATAAGATTTTAGAATCACAAAATCCCTGTAGTGTGGGAAAGAGGCCATTTGGCCCATTGGGTTCACACTGACCCTAAAAAGAACACCATGCCTATGCCTAGACCCAGACCCAGCCCCAGCGGCAGTGCCCTACCCTAGCCACATAACGCTGCATTTACCATAGCTAGCCTGCACATCCCTGGACACTACAGGCAATTCAGTATGGCCAATCAACCTAACCTGCCCATTTTTGGACTGTGGGAGGAAACTGGAGCACCCGGCAGAAACCCACACAGACAAGGGGAGAATGTGCAAACTCCACACAGACTATCACCCAAGGCTGGAATTGAACTGGTCCTTAGCACTGAGGGGCAGTAGTCCTAACCACTGAGCCACCTTACCCGCCCCTAATTTTTTAATCCATTCACAGGGTGTGGACATCACTGGCTAGGCCAACATTTATTGCTCATCCCTAGTTGCCCTTGAGAAGGTGGTAGTGACTAATTGAACTGCTGTAGACAATTTGATATAGGTGCACCCACAATGCTGTTAGGGAGGGAGTTCCAGAATTTTGACCAGAGACACTGAAGGAGCAGTGATATCTGTCCAAGTCAGGTTAGTGAGTGGCTTGGAAGACATTTGCAGGTGCTGTTATTGCCATGTATCTGCTGCCCTTGTCCTTCTAAATAGGACTGGTTGTGGATTTGGAAGGCACTACCGAAGAAGCCTTGGTAAATTTCTGCAGTGCATCATGTAGATAGTACATATTTTCTTTTCTCAAATGCATATTAGCAGCATGTGGACAAGTGTTCTTGAATCTATCAATGGTATCCTTATAGCAGCTATCGGGATACAATATTCAACATCTCAAGGTCTTCCTTTTCTTCCATAAACAGTCTTAATCAGGTCACTGATCAAGAAGCACTATTGAGTCATGTAAACATCTGCAAAGGACTCCATGACTGGCTCATTGTAGTAATATTACTACAAATACAATCAATAGTGATCCAAGTTTCTGTATTTCCCCCATGTATACTGAAGTCATGCTGGTGACCAATTAGGGCCCAGTGAAAATTATTCCAGTAAGTTACTATTAGTTTGTTTACAATTTGCAGTAGTGATATTGGCCTGTGGTTATCAGGTCTAATGGTTCCTTGTAAAGACAAAGCAGGCTTGGTATTAATTCCCATAGCCAGTGGGAAATGATCCAAAGTGAAATAGAGATGTGATATTCACCTGCTACTCATGGCCTACTCCTTATATTTCACAACAACAGCTATTGGGCTGTCCGAACACCCCTCTTTGTAGACACAGGATATTTAATTAACATATTTAAAATCAGGCTCCCATAGTGGAATTGAAAGCCTGATTTAAACCTATCAGTACGTAAAGGAAACTCTAAAGTGAGGGGATTTCTACCCTTCTAAGTAAGTGCACATGGGCCAGGAGGAATGGCAATTCTCCCGGGCCCTTTAAGAATGTCTGTGACCTTGCTCAGACTAAACTTCACCTAGTATTGTTGACCACCATTCACTGGGGCTCTCTTCACTGGTAATCATCAAGAACAGTTTAAGGGTCATTTGGCTATAGCTTCCTGCATCAATGTTCCCTCTTATCTGTGGGCCAGAAAACAAATCACAGAGAAGTTAATGAACTCATGCAGTTCGAGAGTTAATATTGGACTATTGTTTCTTCTTGAAAAGGGGGACAAACAAGAGTGCCATTCAGCTAATCATAGCTGTGTTAGTTCTTCGATGAAGCCCTTAGAGTATAGAAGAGCAAACCCCTGGTGCAACTATAATCTATGTTCATAACATTTAATTCTGCAAACAAGAAAAAAAAAGTCATCCAGTTTATTTTGAAGCGCCAATCCTTTTGTTGCAATAGAAGGAGTGTCATTCCTTGATCCATCATAAAGCAGACATGTCTAAAACTTGGCTCAAAATGAGAAGCAAATTCTTGTATCCAGAGAAGTAAAGTTTGCTCAAACTCAAAATAGCTCACTTTTTCTACTGTCAATTATTATTTTGAATTTTGCATGATTTGATTGCTGTGGTCAGGATGAAACATCAACTGTAGGTTATACTAGTGTGATCTATATCTGCCTGGCTGTGAAATATCATGAGCCACTATGTTGATTACGCACTTCAGATAATTTCTTATTTCTGTAGGATTCTGTAGTCTAAAGTCTCTTCCTTTAACATTAATTCATTAGTGCAGCCAAAATTGTCCTCAAGTACTGCCTATTAGTAAGTCTTTGCAATTTCCTTATGACGCCAGATATCACTCAAACAACTGTTTATAATTGTAATTGCTGTGCATGAGAAGAGCATTTAGGCCCTAAAGCTGTACAAAGGAAACAACAAGAATGATTACAGCGCAAGAGTGACTATCTATAAAAGTAGATAAAATTAGGAATTTTAAAGAGAGACACCCAAAATTGGGATAACATGACCTTCAAAGGAATAGAAATTTCTTAAGGATTTATGATCAGAAGTTGTCTACATTTGTGTCCATTTCGGGATTTTCCTTCAAAAATGCAGGAAATGTGACATTTCAGAGAACTTCAGAATTCGCAGCATTTGCAAGTCATATGGGCAAGCGATATTCGTGTGGCTTTTCTGGAACAAATAGCTTGCGAGATTTAACCACTGCAGAAAAATATAAAAATAATATACTCCAATTACAATATTGACTTTTTATGGTACGCAGTTATAGACTCAGTCTTACAGCACAGAAATAGACCCTTCGATCCAACCAGTCCATGCTGAAAATAATCCCGAACTAAACTGCTTGCCTGCCTGCGCTTGGCCCATATCCCTCCAAACCTTTCCAATTCATATATTTATCCAAGTGTCTTTTAAATGTACCCACATCCACCACTTCCTCAGGAAGTTCATTCCACATGCAAACCACCCTTCGTGTAAAAAAAATAATGCATCCATGTCTTTACTAAATCTCTCGCCTCTCACCTTAAAAATGTACTCTCTGGTCTTGAAATCCCCCATTATATAGAAAAGATATCTACCATTAATCCGTATCTATACCCCTCACGATTTTATAAACTTCTATAAGGCCACCTCTCAACCGCCTACGCACTATCGAAAAAGTTCCAGCCTATCCAGGCTTTCTTTATAACTCAAGCCATCCATATCTGGCAACATCCTGGTAAATCTCCTCCGAACCCTCTCCAGTTTAATAATATCCTTCCTATAACTGGGGGACCAGAACTGGACACTACTCCAGAAGAGACTTCATTGCAAACATTTGAAGATTTTATTTGCATATAAAGTATGGGAAAAATATTTATATAATTGACTATATAAATTATTTCTGGTATTTTAATTTAAAGCCACATATATTGTTTACTTGCGCTATCCACGGGGCGAAAATCCTGGAACTTCTTCATAATAGCTCTGTGGATGTACCTACTTCTCATGAACTGCAGTGCTTCAAGCTGGCAGCGCACCACCTTCTCAAGAGTAATTACGGACTGGCAAACAATGCTCAACCAACCAGTGATAACCACGTCCCATGGACGAAGAAAACACTAACCAAAGTCATGTATTTCTGTTGCTCAGATGGTTGCAAGCACATTGGAGCAGATGATGCCATGGGGAACTTTGCTATCCCTATAAAGGAGTATTTAACCAGAAATGAATGTGATTTTCAAATGACGTTCTTGTTGGTGATAACGAGACTTCAGTCAGCCTTCACTCAGCATTACAAAAGTAAAGCAGAATCAGGCCATTCAATAAGATCATGGCTGTATTGCTGCTTTATCTATTCCCCATAATGTTTGAATTCCTCATTGCATCAAAAATCTGTCTAACCCAGCCTGTGCAGCCAAGAGTAAAAGAATGTCAAAAGTTAAAGACCCTGAGATAATAACTTACTGCATTGTTTTCCTAAATTAGAGACCCCTTATTTTGAAACTGAGCTAGATGGCCCTGCAAGGGGAAATATCCAAAGTTTTGGCAAAGATCTGTAGCTCAGGTTGTGGGTGAGGTTGTTGACTTGCTTGCCGAGTTGGCTTGTTCTTGTTCAGACGTTTCATCACCATGCTAGGTGACATTATCAGTGGAGCCTCCGATGAAGCAGTGTTATTCTACTCCACTTGGAATTTATACTGTTTGGTCCGTTATGGTGAGTAGTATCATTTCCGGTTTTGACCTGTATGGGTTTGTATATGGGGTCCAAGTC